TGCTTCTTGACCTCTCACCCACTGACCACGTGACTCTTCTACTGATTTTCTCCATTTGATAAAATCTGACATTTTAGAGAGAGGAAGGGAGGAGAAAGAGAGAGACATAAATGTGAGAAAGAAACATTGTTCGGTAGCCTCCCATATGCATCCCAACCCCAGGGACTGAACCCAGAACCTGGGCATGTGCCCTGACCAGGAATTGAACCAGGGACCTTTTGGTGCACAGGATGGTGCTCTACCAGCTGAGCCACAGCAGCCAGGGCAAAATATGACATTTTCTTATGAAGAACAAATCCCAGAATAAATACTACAAAGCTAGAAGACTTTACTGCAGGTGATCCCACACCCTTCTGGGCCTGTTGGCTAGACATGTCTAGGCCAAGGAAGGGACAGGAATGAAGGAGCCTTCAGCTTTCTCCAGGATCTGATGGTTCCCTTCCTTTTGCAGAGATCCTGGACTTTGGCTATCCACAGAACTCAGAGACAGGCGCGCTGAAAACCTTCATTACCCAGCAGGGCATCAAGAGCCAGGTATTCGAATTATACAGCTACAGTCCGGGTGGATCCCAACCCCTTTATCCCAGCTGGGCCCTGAGCCTTGTCCTAGCTGACTCATGAAGCTGCCTTTGACAGGAAGTGCTGGTCTGATCTTTCTGCTATGACTGCAGGCTTATTTTCCCATGTGGCCCTCTCCCAACCGAGGTGCAACTGACTCAGCATCTCTGTTACTAGGAATACAGATCAAGCAGTTTCCTTCTACACTGGGGGAAGGAAGAATGGGGGTTGCTTTGGAGGCCTTGGTTCCTCAGGAGGAGAGAGTTTGGACCCTCCTCTAGGATCCAGGCCTCATAGCCTTCTTTTCTGCCTGTCTCTTCCCATCTGCGCTACCCTACGGCTTCCTGTGGGCTCTACATTGGTCCTGTGGCCTCCAGCATCAGGTAAGGTATTCCCTCAACTTCTACCCTGGCAGCTTTGCTCCCTTTCTCTAAGTCCTGCCCCACTGGGCCTCTGGGGGAAGATGGGTTTCAGGGCGGGACTTAGAAGGAAAGAGGGATGAGGATGGAGTGGGGATACAGACAGGATGATTAAAAGTGGAGAGGAGTGAGGCCATTGCTGTTTGTCTCTATTTCCATGTAGACAAAAGAAGAACAATCCCAGATCACCAGCCAGGTGACTGGGCAGATTGGTTGGCGGCGGGAGGGCATCAAGTATCGCCGGAATGAGCTGTTCCTGGATGTGCTGGAGAGTGTGAACCTCCTCATGTCCCCGCAGGGTGAGAGCCCTCTCATGGCAAAGCTGGAGGGGAACTGGGGCAAGGTCCTGGTCCTGATCAGCTTTTCCATTTGTCTGTCCATCACCAGGGCAGGTGCTGAGCGCCCATGTGTCGGGGCGGGTGGTGATGAAGAGCTACCTGAGTGGCATGCCTGAGTGCAAGTTTGGGATGAATGACAAGATTGTAATTGAGAAGCAGGGCAAAGGCACAGCAGATGAAACAAGCAAGAGGTGCCTGAGTCAGGGGAGCTGGTGGGAGTGGGTGGACCTTGGAGGGTTGAGGGGGGCCTGGTGAATCACAAATTCTTTCTGGAAATTTCTGTAGTATTGCAGACTCCCTCTTCCCAAGGATGTACTTGGCTAGTTGCTCTTGACATCTGTGCTTAACACATTGCGTACCACATAGAAATCTCTAAGACATACGCCAGGGACCACACGTTTCTGGGCAAACTGCATGTTATTTAAATCATCATAATGCACTTTAGGTGTTGTTTTTCAATAATTATAACATTTTTATTTACAAAAACAATTAAACAATTAAAGTTCCTAGTACTTTTTTAATGTATGGTACTGCGTAAAACATTTTCCTCTATGAAGAGGGACCAAAATTTACGTAAGTATCTAGATTCGGTCCTTTTTCCATGGGCGTGAAAAACGAGAACACTCGTGAGCGGTCCTTAACAGATGGCGCGCGAAACACGAGAAAACTCCTGAGCGGTACAAAATGTGTTAAGCAAGATGAGGGAATTGCCGTCATCCTACTCAGAGAGTAGGCCCCTTTATTTGGTCCCCAGGACCGAGGCTTTTCAGTATATACTGATGGCCTCTGCTGGCCTCTGCCCAGTGTACCTGAAACCTCTAGGTCCTAAGCAGCAGAGCACTCAAGAGATGATGAGCTTGCAAAGCTCCCACAGATCCCTAATCATGGGGCAGGGACCCCTAAGTCAGAAAGCTGTATTCTGACAGGTTTGGGGTTTTTTTTTTTTAACCTTTATTGTTGAAAGTATTACATAGGTCTTCCTTTCCTGACAGCTTTTGATAGTGTATAGTGGAAACCTCACCCAGGCTCTGAAAGCCTTTGTGGGTGGGGTAGCCTTCCAGCCTAAATCTCTCCTGCCACTCCCCTGTACCTATGACACTTTGTGCCCCTTCTTGCAGCGGGAAGCAATCAATTGCCATTGATGACTGCACCTTCCACCAATGTGTGCGACTCAGCAAGTTTGACTCTGAACGCAGCATCAGCTTCATCCCACCAGATGGAGAGTTTGAGCTCATGAGGTGCCATTGGGATGTGAGGAGGCAAGGGCAAAAAGTGGGGAGAGGAAAGAGGACACACTCTGCTATGCCAACCTTGCTCTCTACTCCTAAAGGTATCGCACCACCAAGGACATCATCCTTCCTTTCCGGGTGATCCCACTGGTGCGGGAAGTGGGGCGCACCAAGCTTGAAGTCAAGGTGGTCATCAAGTCCAACTTCAAGCCCTCACTCCTGGCTCAGAAGATTGAGGTGAGGACAAGGGACTTGGGGAGGAAGCAGCACTTGTCTTCGGGAATAAAAGCAGCTGATGTCAGGGTTTGACAGAGCTCCCTGACAGGGGTGTTACTTCTAGGTGAGGATCCCAACCCCGTTGAACACAAGTGGGGTGCAGGTGATCTGCATGAAGGGGAAGGCCAAGTACAAGGCCAGTGAGAACGCCATCGTGTGGAAGTGAGTCTTTCCTTCATGAGGACACAACAGGGCTTAAGAAGCCTCGATGTACCCTCTTACTCAGTTTTACTGTTCGTCCTCTGAGTGTGTATGTGTTTTATTCGGGGAGGGAGGGGATTGCCTATTTGCTTCTCCAGGAGCTTCTACTTGCTCTCACCCTGTACCTATGTGAATGTGCCACCTGTTTGCACTTGGGTGCACGCCTACACTTATTTATCAGGATGCTTTAACGTTTTCCCATGTCTGTGAAGTAAACAGTAAGGGATGGCACGACCATGTATCTCAGCAGAACCTGCAGCCCACAGTGCTAAAGGAACAGCAGGCCCAAGGTTCCGTAGCAAGTGGTAATCAAGGTCCTCACTGCATTGTCTTGTCCTAACACCTCCCACAAGCTCCTGGGTTCTTTCCTCCCCGCCCCCTTCGAAATTCCTCCAAGCTTCCAGCAGCACTTGCTGCCCATGGCTCCTGTGTTCCTAGGATCAAGCGCATGGCAGGCATGAAGGAATCGCAGATCAGCGCAGAGATTGAGCTGCTGCCCACCAATGACAAGAAGAAGTGGGCCCGACCCCCCATTTCCATGAACTTTGAGGTATGGTGGAGGAGGGGCCGAGAGCCATAACAGGGTATGCTGGGAAAGATCTTGGAAGTCATTCAGATCAATCTTTATACCTACTACCTGCAGATGAGCAAACTGAGGCCTTGAGAGGGGAAGTGACTTTAATTCATAGAGCCATTTCTTCCCCCTTCAGGCTTCCAACTAAAATTGCTATTCACACTAACAAAAATCTTTACCTTCTTTTGGCTTGTTGTAAGATAATTCTTTGGAAAGCTTTAGATTGCTTGAATGCCAAATAAGATACAAAGTTTACTTTCAGACAGGAAAATGGGCTGACTTTGCTTTGTGCAAATTATATGTTAGACATACAATTTTCTCCACCTTATTTTTTAAGTCCATAATATTGAGATGTTCTAAGTCAGGTCTTTGGTTGCTGCTTTCTGCAGATTAAAGGAATTGATTCAAGTTATCACAGGCAGGGCCTGACTTCAAACCCAAATGATTACTGGTTACTCTTGGATATGCTTTATTCTTTAGTAACCTTTTAGAGGACCCCCTCACTACCCTGACTTCTTTCAGGACACTAATCATTCAATCACCTGTAGTAAGGAGGTAAAGGTAGGGCGGGGCTACAGAACTTCCCAGAAGAGAGAGACTGACTGGAAGGCCACATTCCTAACGAGCTGTCCCTTGCCCAGGTGCCATTCGCGCCCTCTGGCCTCAAGGTGCGCTACTTGAAGGTGTTTGAACCGAAGCTGAACTACAGCGACCACGATGTCATCAAATGGGTGCGCTACATTGGCCGAAGTGGCATCTATGAGACACGCTGCTAGCTGCCTAGTGGCAGCTAGCCCGCCTCCCCACCCACCCACCCACCCTCTTCCACAAGTCCAAGTGCCCCGGCCACCACACATCAGTGTCTCCTCCCTCCTGCTTTGCTGCCTTTCCTTTGCACCAGCCCCTGAGTCTAGGTCTGGACCAACCACATCGCAAGTAGGACAGGTGGAGCTGTCCCTGGGCTCCCTGGGCAAGGTGGTTTGTGGGGCTCCTGTTTCTCCATCCGTCTGTCTTGGCCCAATGCCAGGCTCGATGAGTTCTGTGACCAAAGTCAGGTGGGCTTCTCCTCCCCTCCCCTGTGGCCACATCTCTCAAGTGGGAGGGTTGGCTGCCCTTCACCTCAGAGCTCCCCCAACAGCTAGTAATGGATCCCTAGCCCTCAATCCCTATTCTGCTTTGGGATAGTGTGAGCTTCATTTTGTACACGTGTGACTTTGTCCAGTTAGACCCAATAAACTATGTAGAGTGGAGTAGCTGGCTGTGTCGATGCAGGGGGGATGGGAACTGGTGGGACGGCTCTTCCTATGTCTTACACTACCTGCTTTGAGTACAATTTTCTGTTTTGACCTCTCTCAAGGCTTCTTCCCTTGTCTTGGTCTCAACTGTTAGGCCCCTCCAAGGCCATCCAGTCCCTAATCCTGATTTGTGTTCACCCCAGGTCTCCTGTCTTCTCTGAGAAGAAAACAGCTTCAAGGGCCAGCAGCCCCACCTGGCCCCAGGTCCCTAAGGGTAGAGATTCTTTCTCTAATTCACTCCTAGCTTTAGGCAGATAAAAGAGCAGATTTACCCTCACCAGTTTTTCCTTGCTTGGTTTCAGCCTTTTTGAATCTAAAAAATCTATTAAAAAGTTTCAAAAAAACAGAAGTAGCAAAATGAAATGAACGCTCATGTCCCATCATCCAATTTCAACAATCAACTCATGGCCGGTTCATGGATAGCATGTCCAATCTGTGTACATACCTAATTCAAGTGTCCTATAAAATTTTTACAGTTTGCATCTGGATCCAAACAAGGTCCATTGTAGTAGGTGAATGCTTCTTAAATTTTATAAACCACAGGTTCTGCTCAGTTCTTGCAATGTTGAAGAAACCAGATATTTCTGTACAGTACATAGTTTCCCTCCTCCGAATTTCTCTTTCCCAGTGTTTCCTATAATGTGGTTATAAGCTCTAATAGCTTCTATAGATTTATTTTAAATATTAGGATTGACTGATTCCTCACAAGGATGAATTAATGTAATTTTAGAGCAGGATTGGAAAAGTGTTCACATTAAATGTAAAGCAGTAGCATCATTAACTTCTGAGAGAATCCGGGAAAGGAAGTAGTCCTTAGAGTTACTTACTGAGATTCAGGCCGCAGAGAAGTCTGCTTTAGGTTTAGGTAGAATTAGAGAATATCAATGAATTTACACAGGCCGTGTTCACCTGGTTTTCTCGCCCTCTGGCAGAGTGAGGCTGTGCCCTGGGGTGGTGGAATAGGCATAACTTGTATTGAGTTGCAAGACACGAGCAGAGCAGGCGAGCTTCCAGGCTGAGACCAGCCCATAAAGGTTGGGAACCATAATAACCGCGGCTGCACAGAACTGCGCAGGGGGCTTCTGAAAGCTCGGGAACCAGCGTGAGTCAGCAAACATCTCGGCTGGCTCCAAAATGGACCCGCTCAGGCGTGCAGACTGGCAAGACCAGTGTGCCGGACCCACCGCCGGTCTCTCGCGCGGTTCCCACCCGCTGAACCTTGGACATTCGAGCTCTCCGCCTTCCGGATCTCCACCTCCCAGAAGGCAGCGAGGGCCGCACGTGCGGCTAATTTCTCAGCGGAAAAGGCGTTGCGCAAGCGCAGAGAGCAGCTCTGGCGTAGACACAGTGGTGCTCGCGCACGGTTCTTTCGGCCCCGCCCACCGGGTTCGGCGCAATCCACGCTTTACTTATGTCACCACTACGCATGCGCCATGCAAGGAGGGACGCGCTTTGGGGGAAGGGCAGGGGTGGGCCTTGGCCGGGGTCTCACCGCGACTGCGCGGAAGGGAGCCGGACTGTAACATGGCGACTTGCGCTGAAATCCTGCGGAGCGAGTTTCCCGAAATTGACGGACAGGTCTTCGACTACGTAACCGGTGAGCCCAACCGAATCCGCGGGCTGGGGAGGCCAAAGGGGAAGTCGGGTGGGAAAGACTAAGGGAGGGCAGGGCCGGGGCCGCTGCTGGGCCTCTCCTCTGTGTGACCTCTTGTCCCGAGGGCGGGATGGGTCCGGAGCCCGGACTCGGGTCGCGGTCCCGGGGTTAAACTGCTTGTGTGCCCACCCTGCCCCGTGCCTTCCTGGACCTGCCCCGCCCCGCCCAGGCGTCTTGCACAGCGGCAGCGCGGACTTCGAGTCCGTGGACGACCTGGTGGAAGCTGTGGGGGAACTGTTGCAAGAGGTGTCCGGGGACAGCAAGGATGACGCGGGCATCAGAGCCGTGTGCCAGCGCATGTACAACACTCTGCGCCTGTACGTGGCGGGGGGCGTGTGGGGAGGGGGGGAGGGTCGGTCGGGAGGCAGGAGGGAGTCAGGTCTGATGGCCCAGGAGCTTTGTCCTCCCCCCTAACTGCGCTTGCCGTCCCTGCCGTGCAGGGCTGAGCCGCAGAGCCAGGGAAACAGCCAGGTGCTGCTGGACGCCCCCATCCAGTTGTCAAAGATCACGGAGAACTACGGTGAGAATGAGGGGAGGTTGACTAGCTACCCGCTCCTGTCCTCCGCCGCGAGGCCCCGGCCGCCTGCCTCCTGGAGCTCAGAACTCCCGGCACCTCTTTTCCATAGGACAAGATTGTAGAAGCTAGTTGATGTCTTTACTGAAGGCAAAAGAGCCCATTGATGCAGGGAGTAGGGTTGGAGGGTTCTCCAAGCTCTTGGCAATGGTATGAAGCATATGGGCTTTGGAGCTGGACAAACTTGGGTTCACCCACTCCCACCCCCTATTTTGTGACTTACTAACCAACTGCATGCTCGTGTTAGAGTTGCCTATCAGCTTTGTGTCTGGCTTATATTAGTTACTCAAAATATTAGTTTCCCTTCCCTCAGGGAGAAGGTGACTGCTTTTCTTCTCATCTACAGACTGTGGCACCAACCTTCCAGGGCTGCTGAAGAGGGAACAGTCCTCGGTGAGGAGGAGGACGAAAGGGAGGGGGCTGTGTATGGTTGGGGTAGGAGTTGACGGTCTCTAAATACTGGAATATCTTTCTGGGGGATTTCTGAATCTAATTCTGTTCATCGTGGATAAATTGAAAGGGTAAACTTGAGTTGCTCTCTCTGAGCCTACACCTGAGGGTGAAATGGTTTTGTTTGGACCCTCAGACAGTGAATGCAAAGAAGCTAGAGAAGGCTGAGGCTCGACTAAAGGCAAAGCAGGAGAAACGTTCAGAGAAGGACACACTCAAGACCAGCAACCCTCTGTGAGTTTAGCAAAAAGGGTTAAGAGAGCAGAACAGTCTCTACAGGGATGAAAGGGTGGTTGGGAGTGCCAAAAGCCATCCATTTCTTCTTTTAAAAGAGTCTTGGAAGAGGCATCAGCCAGCCAGGCAGGCAGCAGAAAGGAGAGTCGGTTGGAATCATCTGGCAAAAACAAATCCTACGATGTGCGAATTGAGAACTTTGACGTGTCTTTTGGCGATAGGTGAGGGAGTGGCAGTGGGGGGTGTGATGTTTCTCTTTTTCCAAATAAAGGAGAATTTGGAGAGATTAAATGGGGCTAAAAGTAATATTAGGTTTCTGTTGTTAAACTTGCAGTACACCGATGTCTAGAGCACCCTTTGTCTTCTTCCTGCTGCCCCTGCAGGGTGCTGCTGGCTGGTGCAGATGTGAACCTGGCATGGGGCCGCCGCTATGGGCTAGTGGGCCGGAATGGGCTGGGGAAGACAACACTGTTGAAGATGCTGGCCACCCGGAGCCTGCGAGTCCCAGCCCATATTTCCCTGCTGCACGTAGAGCAGGAGGTTGCTGGAGATGACACCCCTGCCCTGCAGAGTGTGCTGGAGAGTGACACTGTACGAGAAGACCTCCTGCAGCGAGAGCGGGAGCTCAGTGCCCAGGTTGCTGCTGGCAGGTGAAGGCTCTGTGCAGCTGTCCTTCACAGAGTGCCTGCCATAGTGTCATAATCCAAAATTCACATGCCCATCCTAGTGAGCAGGAGAGCTTAGAACTTAGCACTCTCAAGCCCTTGTTCCTTCCACAGTGCCCAAGGTCCTCAATGCTGTGAGCACGTCCTTCCTGTACTCTGTTCTTGTCCCAGCAACAGGGCAGCCAGTGGTCTGCTTTCCAACAGCATGCGGTGCAGGACATCCTCTCGGACTGCCCCTACTCAGGCTGATTGCTCTGCCCTCCATTTCCTTCCCAGGGCCGAGGGCTCAGAAGCTGCACAGCTGGCAGAAATCTATGCCAAACTGGAGGAGATTGAGGCTGACAAGGCACCTGCCAGGTATTTGAAATTCCCCCTTTCTTCACATTTCACCTTTCCCTTCTGTTACCTGTTCCAACTGGGTTCTTCACTTCTAGGGCATCAGTCATTCTTGCTGGACTTGGCTTTACCCCTAAAATGCAGCAGCAGCCCACCCGGTGAGTGGCCCTTGCCATTCTTGACTGTGAATACTGTTGGCTCTGCCCCTGTGCTGGTGAGCACCCACCTCTCATGCGGCTCTTCCTTTCTTTAGGGAGTTCTCAGGTGGCTGGAGGATGAGACTGGCCCTGGCCCGGGCCCTGTTTGCTAGGTGAGTCTTCTGGGCCTGTATGTGGATATTATGGAGGATGGGCCTTGGCAGTTAGGGGTTTGAAATGGATCTCTGAGCTAAATCCTCAAGCTTTGCATTCTTTTTCTCCATAGGCCAGATCTTCTGCTGTTAGACGGTAAGTTTGAAATGTGACACCCTAACTTCAGGGTGGGGAAAGGTGGCAACACCCAAGTTCCTACATCTCTAGCCCTTCAATCCCAAATGTGTTCACTTTTTTAGAACCCACAAACATGCTGGATGTAAGGGCCATCCTATGGCTGGAGAATTACCTGCAGGTGAGTGCCTATAGGTGCCAGAGTAGGTTTGGGGGAAGTCTGCCTCCAAGACATCTAGGGGCTGGGTGCTGACTGCCCTCCCAAACTGGGCCTGCTGTCCTGTGACCCCTCAGACGTGGCCCTCCACAATTCTGGTCGTCTCCCACGACCGAAACTTCCTGAATGCCATAGCCACAGACATCATCCACCTGCACAGCCAGCGGCTAGATGGCTACCGGGGAGACTTTGAGACCTTTATCAAAAGCAAGCAGGAGCGACTACTCAACCAGCAGCGTGAATATGAGGCACAGCAGCAGTATCGCCAGCATATCCAGGTGTGGAGCCAGCAGGGCTGAGGGCCCCATCTCGTGGGTATTAGATTTGCAGGGAGTGAGGGAGCCTGACCAATGCCTACACTCATCCACCCGCAGGTTTTCATTGACCGTTTCCGCTACAATGCCAACAGAGCCTCTCAAGTACAGAGTAAACTCAAGATGCTGGAGAAGCTGTGAGTACAATGTCCAATGGCCCTGACTCCTGTTCTCTTAATTTCTGGCCTCATTTTGCAGGCCATCCTTGCCCTCCCATTATAGGCCCCCCCATTTTCTAGAAATCAACTTGAACTTCCTCCCCCGCAAGAAAGAAAGAAGTTTTATACTGTTCTCAAAGAGTTAATCTTGTCCCCAGGCCCTAGTAACCACTAATCTGCTTTCTGTTTGTGTATATTTGTTTATGCTGAACATTTAATATAAATGGAAATCATACAATGCGACCCTTGTGTCTGGCTTCTTTTGCTTAGCATAATGTTTTTGAGGGTCATCTCTGTACTAGCACATAGTACTTCATTCCTTTTTATGACAGATAATATTCCATTGTATGGATAATACCATATTTTGCTTATTGATGCATCAGTTGATGGACATTTATGTTTTCTCCTTTTGGCCCTTATGAATAATGCTGCTATGAACATTTGTGTACTAGTTGTGTGGACATATGTTTTCTATTCTCTTGGATGCATACCTAGGAGTGGAGTTGCTGGGTTATATGGTAATTCTATGTTTAACTTTTTAAAAAATACATATTTTTCTTGGTTTCAGAGAGGAAAGGAGAGGGAGAAAGAGATAGAAACATCACCGATGAGAGAAAAATCATTGATCAGCTGCCTCCTGCAAGCCTCACACTGGGGATTGAGCCCACACCCTGGACATATGCCCTGACCGGAATTGAACTGTGACCTTCTGCTTCATAGGCTAAAGCTCAACCACTGAGTCACACCAGCTGGGCTGTCTTTTTTTTTTTTTTTTTAATACTCACATGAGGACATGCTTTGAGAGGAATGGTGAGAGAGAAACATCAATGGGTTGCCTTCTGTATGTGCCCCAAACCCACAGCCCAGGTATGTGCCCTGACCTGGGATCAGCGGGCAACCTTTTCTTTCAGTGCACACACTCAACTACCTGAGCCGCTCTGGCTGGTTATCATCTTTAATTTTAGCTACCCTAGTGGGTGTGGCATGTTATCTCATTGTGGTTTTGATTTGCATTTCTTAATGACTAAGGGTGGTGAACATTGAAGGTTGAATCTTTTTGTTTTGTTTTTGTTTTGCTAATCTTGAAACATTTCTAGAAGTGCTGGTGTTGGAGAGCCTAAAATCATAAGACTTAGGATTTTTATGACATTGAAACGTACATCATGATATGTTAACTAGAAGGTCAAAAAGCTGCAAAAAGAATAACACTATTTTTTTCCAGCATTTAGTAAACTAAAGGAATGTACAGTCATGTGCTGCTTAATGTCAAGGATACGTTCTGAGATGTGTTGTTGGGCAATTTTGTCATTGTGCGAACATCATAGAGTGCACCCACCTAGATGGTATAGCCCACTACACACCTAGGCAGTACGTTATAGCCTATTGCTCCTAGTCTACAGGTCTGTACGGCATGTTATTTCGCTGAATACTGTAGGCATTTGTAATACAATGGTAACTATTTGTGTAACTAAACATAAAAGTTACAGTAAAACCCAGCTGGTATGGCTCAGTGGTTGAGCATCAACCCATGAACCAGGAGGTCACAGTTCAGTTCCCGGTCAGGGCATATGCCTGGATTTCGGGCTTGATCCCCAGTAGGGGGCATGCAGGAGGCAGCTGATCAATGATTTTCTCTCATCATTGATGTTTCTACCTCACTCTCTGAAATCAATAAAAATACGTATTAAAAAATGAGAGAGATGCAGTAGACAAAGGATATTTACAACGAAAAGTATATAAGTAGCATAGTCATTTATTATCATTATCAAGTATTATGTGCTGTACATAATTACATGTGCTGTATTTTATACAGCTGGCAGTGCAGTAGGCTTATTTATACCAGCATCACCACAGACATTGTGCTATGACATTATGACTTGGCTCTGATGTGACTAGGTGATAGGAATTTCAGCTCCATTATAACCTTATGGGACCACCCTCATGTATGTGGTCTGTTGTTAAACTTGTTATGTAGTACAAAACTGTCCTCGAAAATAAGAATGTTATCTGGGTGGTGGGACTACAAGCTTTTCTAAGTTTTCTCTGAGCATATATTTCTTGTGTGATGGAACACATGAAAGTCATACATCTAGAGTGCCCCCTCTTTCCTCAGGCCAGAGCTGAAACCCGTGGACAAGGAGCTGGAAGTAGTGATGAAGTGAGTGCTGGGCCAGAGGGGCTGGTTGGAAGTTCTTGTTTCTGACCACTGCAGTGCTGTTCACCCCCACCCTCCCTCCCACAGGTTCCCTGATGGGTTTGAGAAGTTCTCACCACCAATTCTGCAACTAGATGAGGTGGATTTCTACTATGATCCTAAACACGTCATCTTCAGCCGTCTCTCCGTCTCTGCTGATCTTGAATCCCGCATCTGTGTGGTATGGTTGTTGTTTCTCTGTTCCAGGAGTTGGGACTCTCCCACCCCAACACATGCTGGGGATTGGCCCAGATCCTCGGGTTGCAGGGGAAAGAGGTCCACTGGGCAAGAGACAGGGCCTGAGCCAAGGACTTGCCTATATTTATACTGTCCCCATGCTCCAGCCTCGCAGGGCTGCCCTGCAGAGGTGAAAAGAAAGCCTGGCATCTGGTACTTTATGAATACTTGAAGCAGTATTCTGTCTTGCTCGTCTCTGCTCTCAGTTTTCTCAAACCATGGAACATAGAGGAGAGAGTATAGGCTTCAGAGTCAGACTTCAGATCCTGATTCTGCCATTTCCCAGCTTTATTACTAAACAGTTTTCTCATCTTTAAAATGGAGATAACGTCTACCTCCCTTGGTTATTGGGAGAATTAAAGCCCCAGCACTTAGTAGGTACTCAGGTATTAGGCTCTCTTTACATATTTATTACCTCCATTTTTCTCTTGAGTTTCTGAAAAATATTTTAGTTGTTGAAAGAGTCATTGGGACTACCCAAGTCCAGTTCTCATTTCCTTTCCTTGTGTCCTCTACATGTACACTCTAAAGGTCTCATGTTTCTTCTTATAGGTTGGGGAGAATGGGGCTGGGAAGTCTACCATGCTGAAGCTGCTTATGGGGGACCTAACACCTGTTCGAGGCATCAGACATGCTCACCGGTAGGGCCCACACCTTCACTCTCCAACTACCCGTACACTTGTAGCTACATTCTTTATGGTCATGCCTTTCATCCCCTCTTGCACCTTCATTGCTGACTGCAGGAATCTGAAGATTGGCTATTTCAGCCAGCACCACGTGGAACAGCTGGACCTGAACGTCAGTGCTGTGGAGCTGCTGTCACGCAAGTTTCCTGGTGTGTTAGGGCTTGGGATTCAGGAGAAAGTCCCAGGGCTGCTGCCTACAGTTAGGCCTCCTTGGGGAGGTGCTGAGCAGCCCAACAAAGTCTAGGTGTAAGGACAGAGGTATTTGAAGGTGGGGCTGGGGAGAAGGTGAAGGGAGGGAGTTGGGCCATGATCGAATGGGGCCTATTCCAGGACGGCCTGAGGAGGAGTATCGTCACCAGCTGGGCCGGTATGGCATCTCTGGAGAACTGGCTGTGCGCCCTGTTGCCAGCTTGTCTGGGGGCCAGAAGAGCCGGGTAGCCTTTGCTCAGATGACTATGCCCTGGTGAGGCCTTATTTTCTAGAATTCTTGCCCTCCCTGTGCCCCTCTAGCCTAGTAGAAAATGATTCTCTTGTCTTTATATCAGAGGAGTTCATGATTTCTCCAACTCCCCATAACTATCCACCTTCCTGGGTTCTGCCTTCCAGCCCCAACTTCTACATTCTGGATGAACCCACAAACCACCTGGATATGGAGACAATTGAGGCTCTTGGCCGTGCTCTCAACAATTTCAGGGTGAGTGTGTCTTCATAATGCCCACTCCTTCCCAGGCCTCAGCACTCCTTAACCCCCCAACCCCCTGAGTGCCTCTGGTCTCCTGTCTTTCAGGGTGGCGTGATTCTGGTATCCCATGATGAGCGCTTCATCAGGCTGGTGTGCCAGGAGTTGTGGGTGTGCGAAGGAGGCGGCGTCACCCGGGTCGAGGGGGGATTTGACCAGTACCGTGCTCTTCTCCAGGAACAGTTCCGCCGTGAGGGCTTCCTCTAGGCCCAACAAGCTGAGGGCTATGCCCAGGACATGGACTGGTCTCCCAGACCCCTGGGCCACCACATAGGCCACGGACCTCCCCTGACTTTGGGGACAGCCTTATTCCCAAATCTCTCCTTTTGACTGGAGCATGCTCTGCACAATCCAGAGAACCACATCTTAGGGTCTGTGAGGACTGGTCTTCTAAGTGGAAGGGGTAGGAGGGTACCCTCTGGGGTTATAGTTCCTCCACTGCCCCAGCTCTGACTGGGCCCCAAGTGGCTGCTGTGTAAATTAAATCTTCTTGCCTCATCTCTGCTGTTCCCTGGCAGGGCTGCAGTGTGTTAAGGGGTGTGGGCTCTCTGATTTGTTATTCTCCTGTGACATTTGTATCAATCACAAAGAGGAGGTTATAGCATCACCAGCCTGGAAGGAGACATCACTAAAGCCGCTGGGGCTCAGAGGTCACCTGCCTGACCTTGCAGTGGGCTGGGCTGTTGAATGAAGGGCAGTGTGTTACATCACTGTGGTGCTTGTCCCTGTAGCGTGGGCTCGGCCTCACTGCTTAAGAGAGTGAACTGATTCTGTAATCCTGCAGCTTAAGACATGGTTTGTCATCTGCTTTCTCCCGTGGTCTCTGGCCCAGGCTCACCCTGCTTCTCTGGTCTGGACCTTCAGAAGGGTCTGAAGAGAAATTGTCTTTGTCCCTGTTTTGCTTGGGCGGTTTCTTTATTTTTCCCTCTAACCATGTAAGAGGGGCCTGGGAAGAAGTTGAAAATGGGAAGAAATAGAGCACTTTGTTTTCAAATTAAGCAGTCTTAAGTGTGGGGTGGGATGTTTCACTGTTGGGGTCCAGCTCCCCACATTTCACAGAGGTAATAGAATTTATAAATATTGCTTCTCGAGGGCTCAGCTGCTATATGTAATTGTTATACAGAAGACACTGACATAGAGACATTGTGTTGCTCTCCGTGATGATGGAGGAAACCAGTCAACAGAAGCAACTTGCTGGTTTCATGGAGAATTATAGTCACAAAGCTCAACCAAGGAATGTTAACTCAGCTGGTGAGGTTATTATAGTGCAAGTAGGTGGAGGGAGATACCTGTTTTTGGAGTAAAGGAGAATAAAGACAGGAAGTCTCTGCTGATTTACTATAGAACAGGCAGTGATGGATGAATGAAAACAGCAGAAGAGCCACTAATCAGCCTGCTTCCTCAGCCTCTCTCACTCCCTTTCAGAAGTCCAGAGGAGAGGTTCTTCCAACTGTGTGTGGCTTTGTGAATCCTCATGCTCCTAAGAGCCTTCTCACAACCCCCATCACTTCTGCCAACCTCAGACCTGCAGATGGGCCAGTCAGGGGCCATCTGGTGTGTGATTTGTGTCTACCTGTTTGCCAGGCTCAGCCCCTTCACCTCACACAAGCTTGTGAATCCTGATATGAGTTCTCCCAAGTCCTTAAAGTTGTGGGAGTGCAGCTGAAGGGCTCTGACAGAATCTGCTGCTTTTGGAGGTAGGTGACTTTATACAAAGAGCACTGGAGTTGGGCCTAAGATCAGTCCCAGTGCCATTACTGGTGATAGAAGGAGTCACCAGACTAAGAAATACTAGCTGTGTAAGGAATCACTTAACCTTTTTGAAAACCACTGCCTGGTTTCTTGATAGGATTGTGTTGAGGATTAGCTGACAAGCACATTATGCATGTGATTCATAAAGTGATTTTTTTGTCTGTGGCCAGTCTGATTTGAAGGGAAGGACGATCATGGGAAAAGCAGATTTTCTGAGTGATTCCAGAGGTGGACAAGTTTGGGTTCGAAGGAAGGAAAATTTGTAATAGTTCAGGTTGCCTCCTGAGAGTAAGTTTCCAGTCTCTGGGACTGTTCAGCCCTGCCAGGCTCTCAAGAAGACCTCTTTCAGGTTGGTTTCCAATGTCATGATTCCATGAACAAAATAGGAAGAGCCTGTATATGACAGTACAGGCCTACATATCAGGCCTTGAGAAAATGAATTGTAGCAGCTGAGAAAGACTACATTAAGGTTTGGGTGAACTTCTGGAGGTTAAAAGAGGAGAGCTGGCAGAAGATAGTTGTCTTGAGGGAAAATAGAGACAATGTCAACTCCATTCCAGAAAGCACAGGGCGGAGAGAAATTTGATATGCATGAGTAGGAAGCCACCCTTGATCACAGACTGCCCATCACAGTAGCCACCCCTTTCACACTGGAGAGCCCATATAACCCAACCATTGGGAAGCTGGTCCTTCCAACTGCTGAGGTTGGAGCTGCCCTGCTGACATCAGGCTAAGTTCTCACTGTTTTCCAGGCAAATTTTAGAATGGAATAGGGGAAAAGGTGCCGTTTACCCTTGCTGGCTATGCCCCAGGTTAATTTGTCATTTTAGAATGTAAAATTCTAGTAAAAGCCACTCCACAGCCTAGGCCTGGCCCGTCCACAGGTGCAAGCCAAACAACACCTCCAGCATCATCAGCTTATGGGTCTGCACCAGCCTGAACATGCAGACTGGATTATGGAACCTGGGGAAATCCCAGCGGGCTAGCAGGCTGGGTTCACAACCTGGCTGAAGGGCCTCTAGGGTTCCCTGAACCTGGAGCCATTGACTCCCTTCAACCTAGCCTCCCTCCAACTGGGCTTCATTGCACTTAGTGCTTCCCACATTATAAACTGCTTGCCATTATTAAAGTTGTAGATCCCACTTTGCCTTGTTAACCTAGAAGGCCAGACCATGGCTTGCTCGTCTTTGTGTCTTATGTGCCTGCCACAGGTTGGGTTCCCTGGGAAGCAGTGTGAAGAAATCATCATGCAGGGTGTTTATGGGGATATGCTGCTGGGACCAATACCGGGATTGAGCAGAGGGAGAAAATGGGCAGCATTAAAGCCTCAGCCCCACATTCTGGAGCTGGGTAACTCTGCAGAGTTGTCCTGAGTTGAGGCAATGGCTCAGGCAGGCCTTTATCTGCTGAGTTCACTAGTCTTTGAATGCTGGCTGCTACCAGAAGATGTGAAGTTGAGAAAGGAAGTTTTCTTCAGCTGAGACAATTCCCCCAAAGGGACTGACAGCTAAGGACTTTGCCATCAGCACTCTGCAGCTAAGGCAGCAAGTCCATTCCTGAAAGGGCGTCCGGGCAGCTCATCACAGCATCTACAGTGCCTAGCCTATAGACATGTGCTCAATAAAAGTGCTTGAGAAATGAGTATTTGGGGGAGATTATTTGAGAAAAAGTAGAGAATAATATTGGAAGAGGAAAAGGGGATAAACCAAGAAACCAGCCAGAAGGTCATAATCAAAATCCAGTCCTAAGGGCACGGGGTCAGCACAGTGCAGGTGGAGACAAGGCTAGGGAGGATGGTGCGCAAACTCGGCAAGGGGCTGCCCGCCCTGCCCAAACAAGGAAGGACTCCTTTTTCTGGGCCAGTCTTGAAAGCTTAGGGACCTAAGGAACAGGTTTATTAGTAAAGGGAACCTTTTTGTTTTTAAACCTCACCTTGTTTCCTTTTAAGACAATGCTAAGGAATAATGACAGTACTAAATATTTATTGAGCTCTTACTGTGCAATAGGGACTTTTCTAAGTGCTTTGCCCACACTCACTCAGTCCATCTTCACAAACCTGTTATTCCCATTTCACAGATGAGGAAACAGGAAGTTGACATAGTGGGTGGCAGGACTGGGATCCGGGCCAGTCTGGTTCTAGAGTGCAACCTTCACTGTCAGGCTGTACTACCGCTCAGCTCCTCGTGTGACCTGCTCGATGGTTTTGTTCATTCCGTCACTTAAAACTCATCAATTGCATGGGGCAGGGTGGGAGGTAGGGGGTTTGAACAAGCTCTCAGGAGAGCAGGCTGATGAGTAGGAGTACCTGGCATTGGCTGACACGCTGGGTGGTCAGTGAAGTTGTTTGTTAAATTAATAAGAAAAAAACGTGGAAAAGTCATGCACTGGAATTAGCACAGCTCTCCCACTAATGGCATCTTGGGCAAGTCAACCTCTCCTGAGCAAATTATCCTTATCCATAAAACGGGTGTAACCCAATTTGTCTTGCCTGCTTCTTTGGGTAGTTGGAAGGATTAAATGAAACAAAGCCCCGTGTAAGCTGAACAAATATTTTTGTGAACTGTAAAGAGCTGTGGATCCAAAGGGTGTCATTTTCATGGATGGAATGAGGGGGCGGCAGCCTGGGGCCTCCTCTGGAGACACATAGACTACCACGTGTACAAACACTCCAGGCCATCATCAAGATGATTGCCCCAGGAGGGCCATCCACAGCCCTCATCTGCTGAGCCAAGCATCAGAAAGTGTGCTTGCAGGAGCGCAGCATGAGACTGCCTGGCACCTGCTGAGTTACATGGGGTAAGGTAGAAATCATGCAATTTAAGCCCATTCTAATAATATGTATAGGTCATGTCCTGTTGGTAATTCTAGGTTTCATTTTCTTTATGTTAAATAAATGGATGGTTTGGATTTCTGCTTTACTGTATATAGAGAGGCCTTTGAAACCCTAAATTAAATATTTGTCAACCCATGCTACAGCATTTTTAACACCGAGGAACGCTTTCACTAATGTTCTCCTTTGCCCTTGTCTTCTCCATAATCCGTTAAGTGGATTTTGATGAGTTATTCCCATTTTACAGAACTGGAGCTTGAGGCAGAAAGATGATAAGTGTCTTGCTTAGGTTCAGATACCTCTGTGTGTGCAGAGATGGGGCAAGAACAGAGGTATCTGGGTCCCTAGACTTCTCACATCTCTCCAGATCGCTGTTCTCAACTTTGTTCCATATTTATTCATACAATGGATGGCATTCTCATGTCACACATGCCCATGGGCATACTCAGGGTCATGCTACCTTCAATCCTTTCAAGCAGGTGTTTTAAACCTAATTATTCAAGATGGGAGATGTTCAAGCAGGGTGTCAGAACCTAACAAGGCAAGGGGGCCATCTGTATAGGAAGGTGGTCCAGTATGAGGTCAGAACCTGAGTGAGGTGAGGACATTCATGCATGGGCATGGCCTGCGCTCTGGGTGGGAATGCAGCCTGCCTGGGGAATCAAAGCCCAAGCAGGGTGAGGAGGACATTATTTTTTTAACTTATCTTTATTATTGATAGTATTACAGATGTCCCCTTTGTTTTGTTCCCCATTACCCCCTCCACCCCATACTAGCCCCTCCCAGGCCTTCACCAGACTATTGTCTGTGTCCATCGGCTATGTACATATGCATATAAGTTCCCCAGTTATTGTCTCCCGCCTTCCCTCTAAAATTCATCAGTCTGTTCCATATCTTTTTTTTTTTTTAAGTTTTTATTGATTTGAGGGAGAGAGAGGAAGGGAGAGGGAGAGAAACATTGGTGGCTGCCTCCTGCATGCCCCCTACTGGGTATCAAGCCTGCAACCCCGGCATGGGCCTTAACCGGGAATCGAACTAGCAGCCTCTCAAGCACAGGATGACACCCAACCAACTGAGCCACTTTAGCCAGGGCAAGGAGGACGTTTTGAGGAGGGGAAGACCCAGGACAGGGTGTTGGGCAAGTTTAGGGTGAGGAGGGTATTTACTGAGGAGGCAGGTGGAAGCAACCCAGTGTAGAGTATTGGAGACGAGTGAGAAGGGCATGTGAATGCAGAAGAAGGCAGTGGTGACAGGGATAATTCATATGGATAAATGTGTTAGGGAAAATGGGAGCCCAGTTTCTCACAGTTGGAGAAGGAAATTATCCTATCTAATTAGGAGGGGATATGCTAATTGACCCTCACACCATTGCAAAGATGGCAGCACCCACAGCCAACAAGGAGGGAATATGCTAATTGACTGCCCCGCCCTCAAAGATGGCGGCGCCCACAGCCACAAGATGGCAGTGCCCAGTCCCCTCAGCCCCCCAGCCACCCAGGGCCAGCCTGAGCGCAGGCAAGCCTCAGATGTTGGCTGCCCAGCCACCCAGGGCCTCTCAAGACACAGGTAACCAGGGCTGGCCGAGGCTTGCACTGCCAGCAGTGGCAGCAGCAGAAGTGTGATGGGTGCATTGCCTTCCCCTGATCGCAGGGTCGCCTCCTGTCTCTGCGGGCTCCTGGACTGAGAGAGGGGGCAGGCCGGGCTGAGGGACACCCCCTCCAGTGCATGAATTTTCTTGCACCGGGCCTCTAGTAAATATAGAAAGGGAGAAAGACCTAGCTGGTTTGGTTCAGTGGGTAGAGTGTCGGCCTGCAGACTGAAGGGTCCCAGGTTTGACTCCGGCCAAGGGCACATGTCCAGGTTGTGGGCTCAATCCCCAGTGGGTGGGAAGGTGTGCAAGAGGCAGCTGATCAATGATTCTCTCTCATCATTGATGATTCTATCTCCCTCTCCCTTCCTTTCTGAAATCAATAAAAAATATATTTGCAAAAAAAAAGAAAGGGAGAAAACTAGAATGAACCTTGTGATATTAGGTTAAAATTGGAGATATTGGTGTAAACTCATATTTTTCAATACATAGAGGTAGATTTAAAAATCAATATAGGGAGAAATAGGGAGAAACCAAGATGGCGGCATAGGTAAACACCTGAACTTGCTGCCTCGCACAACCACTTCAAAACTACAACTAAAGACAAAACAGAAATCACCCAGAACCACAGGAAGGCTGGCTGAGTGGAAATTCTACAACTAGAAGGAAAGAGAAAATCACACTGAGACTCAGGAGGTGCGGAAGTAAAGTGCAGAGGTACGGAGGCGCACACAGAAAGGGCTGGCATTGGAGGTTGCCGGTGTCTTTTTAAATCGGGAGGGAGTCTCAAGCTCCCGATGGCCCTGACTGCAGTTCTGGGCGAGTCTCTGGGGACCCAGACTCACACGGGGAGGAACTGGACTGTCTGGCAGTGGGCGGAACTTGAGGGCAGCTTTCTCAGAGGTGCTTGCAGCGATGACCGTGGGACACTGAGACCCGGGGGGCCTCGTAGGGCGGGGCTGAGGACCAGCCATAGCTGTTTGCTCCGCCCTGTTGATTCCCTGAGACCCCACCCCACCCAAGCTGTGAGCAAAGGCTTTTGCATATGAATGGGCTGGCCCTTTGAGATCTAAAATTGCCTAGCAAGCTGCAGCTGGGTCAGAGAGAATCAGAACATCCAAGGGAGGGCTCAGGGCCCCACAGCAGCTTGCACTGCTTCGCGGCTGGGCCTCGCCTGGGTGCCTCCGGACCCCAAACAAGGAGGATCAGTCTGCAGATTTCTCCATAGCTCCTGCTGGGTAGCCTCGGGCGGAGGCTGAATTGGCACCTCCTTGGGGATCCAGGGGCCCGTGTGCCTCGTGGTTGGAGTGGGACCGTCCAGATTGCAACTCCTCAGATCCATAAAGGACACACTAAGGGGCAGACTCAGTGAGCACCAAACCCCACTGAAGCAAGTCTTGCCCCATAAGGGTGACTTCAGCACAGAAGTTCTCCCACTGTAGACACAGCTGATTCTCACTGCCAATTGGCCTGGAGGTCAATTCCTCCCAGTGATACCAACAACAATCAAAGCTTAATTACAACAAGACTGCACACAGCCCACAAAGGGGTGCACCAAGAGTGTCCACCTCAGGTAATTGGGAAGGCTGAGCCACTGGGCCCTATAGCACACCTAGCACACAAAGCCATTCTATCAAAACAGGGAAGCATAAAAAATGCGGAGACAAAGAAACAGATCACAAATGACAGAAATGGAGGAAAGCAAACGACTGGATATAGAGTTCAAAAGCATGGTTATAAGGTTTTTCAAGAATTTTCTAGAAACCGCTGATAAATTTAGTGAGACCCTCAAGGATATGAAAAAGGACCAACTAGAAATTAAGCATACACTGACTAATAAAGAATAATATACAGAGATCCAACAGAAGACAAGAGGATCCCAAGAATCAAGTCAAAGATTTGAAATATGAAGAAGCAAAAAATACCCAACCAGAAAAGCAAAAAGAAGAAAGAATCCAAAAATATCAAGATAGTGTAAGGAGCCTCTGGGACAACTTCAAGCGTATCAACATCAGAATTATAGGGGTGCCAGAAGAAGAGAGAGAGCAAGATATTGAAAACTTATTTGAAGAAATAATGACAGAAAACTTCCCCTACCTGGTGAAAGAAATAGACTTACAAGTCCAGGAAGCGCAGAGAGCCCCAAACAAGAGGAATCCAAAGAGGACCACACCAAGACACATCATAATTAAAATGCCAAGGGCAAAAGACAAAGAGAGAATCTTAAAAGCATCAAGAGAAAGACAGTCAGTTACCTACAAGGGAATACCCATACGACTGTCAGCTGATTTCTCAACAGAAACTATGCAGGCCAGAAGTGAGTGGCAAGAAATATTCAAAGTGATGAATAGCAAGTCCTAGCCAGCTTGGCTCAGTGGATAGAGTGTCAGCCTGCGGACTGAAGGGTCCCAGGTTTGATTCTGGCCAAGGGCACATGCCTGGGTTGCGGGCTTGATCCTCAGTAGGGGGCATGCAGGAGGCAGCCGATCAATGATTCTCTCATCATTAATGTTTCTCTCTCTCCCCTCTCCCTTCCTCTCTGAAATCAATGAAGAAATATGAGAAAAAGAAAAAAAAATGTGATGAATAGCAAGAACCTACAACCAAGATTACTTTATCCAGCAAAGCTATCATTCAGAACTGAAGGTCAGATAAAGAGCTTCACTGATAAGAAAAAGCTAAAGGAGTTCATCACCACCAAACCAGTATTATATGAAATGCTGAAAGGTATTCTTTAAGAAGAGGAAGAAGAAGAAAAAAGGTAAAGATAAAAATTATGAACAACAATTACATATCTATCAACAAATGAATCTAAAAATCAAGTGAATAAAAATTCTGATGAACAGAGTAAACTGGTGAATATAATAGAATCAGGGGCATAGATGGGACTGACAATTCTCGGGGGGGGGGGAGGGTGTGTGGGGGGTGGGGGAAGAGACTGGACAAAAATCGTACAGCTATGGATGAGGACAGTGGGTAAGGGCAGAAGGTGAGGTGGGAACTGGGTGGAGGGGAGTTATGGGGGCAGGGGGAAGAGGAACAACTGTAATAATCTGAACAATCAAGATTTAATTTAAAAAAATAAAATAAAAATTAATATAGATTTAAGTGTGTATGCTCTAACTGTTGAGAAGTGACACCCCCATTCCAATGGCAAGGAGCAGTGCCCAAGTCCTAGCTTCTACATAACATTCTACACTGTATGGTGCCAGTGCTCCCTAGTGAATGAGCTGATTCTAGGGCTGAGAGAGAAATACAAGATGAGCCTAGAAATCTTGTACTAAAAGCAAAAAAAAAAAGTGTAATTGGGACATATAAAAAGGACAGAAAAGTTAGCTTGAAATGCTCCCACTGGACAAATTAGACAGTTTGAACATCAGTATACTAGCATATTGATTATAACCTCTGAATAAAACAGTTGATATTAATATACATAATTATATGAATAAATTAAAAATTTAATGAGGAACAAGACACATTTTCAAAGTA